CAGTAATAAAAAACTTACTAAATTATGTGATTCAAATCTTATTTATTGCAACAACTTAAACTATTATGGCTCTTTATGACCTCTCTTTTCGACTTTCACCAGAGCATATCTGTGATTGTCGACATACACTGGTGAGGGTCCGAATGTACAAGAATGTAGTACAATATTCTATCTTTCACAGACGTATTTGGTGAATGTTGATATTCTCCGGTGAAAGTCGACATTCTCCAATTTCTTTCTTTCACGATAACATATACAAAGTGGAGACTCGTCTCAAGACCAGATTCTGTGGTCGTAAGTTTATACATTTAAAATAAGCTGATTGGTTAGTTAATTAAGGCGAAACACGTAAGCTTATCTATCTGAGGTGAAGGGTATTTTAGTGGAGGGTTTCCTCAGGGTAACTGGTTTATACTGATGTTAGCTATGCATTAAAACAAGGTTAGTTTTCAAATAAAGCTTGGTTTTTCCCAACTTTGACGTCACTTACTTTCACAAGTTAGATGAAAAATGTAAAAACGGAATAGTTGGGGAAAACCATGAAAACTTCTCTGCGGCCAGCCCTTTCCCTGCCGTTTGAACTCTGGCTGAAGTACTCAGCAGTCTTATTGCCCTGGAAATATAAAAATAAGTATATAAATATAAAATAAATATATAAATTCGATTTATTCGGAAAAAATATACCGAAATTCGAAAAAAAAATATAAATTCGAAAAATGTAAATTCGGTATAAATTCGAATCCTGAAAAATGCTTGGTTGTATGTATGTATTCTCTCTTTCGCGCGAATGCAGTATCGGTCTAAGAGCTTGCGGTGGACAACATTTTCGATGATGAGATGGCTAAATATACAGCAGAGTAGCCCACTGGCGGCAACTGTTTTCGAGCAAGTGTCCAACCATTGGATTGTGGCCGAGTGGTTAAAGACTGCTTAAGTCCAACCTGGGTTCGTAGCCAGGTGAATGGGTTGGCTGCATGGTAGGTTTCCGTGGTTCTTCTCATGTGTTAACGTGAATATAAGTCAGTTTCTCTTAGAAAGCCCTCCATTCATTCATCCCTTATGCAGATAGTCCTGTCTGTGCTTTGCCATATTTAAGTAACCCAGCATAACCAGCCATTCGATTAAAAAAGAGAAAAAATAATAATGCATTAATGTAAGCTTTAAAGCGCAGCAAAGCTTACTGAGGTCAATGTCTGGTTAATGATAAATATGATGACAGAGTTCAGTAAAATTACAAATGGAATAAAATGTTTCTTTTGTTACAAGGGTAATTCTATTGTTCTCATTGTTATCAGAAACGATAAGTTTGCTAAGCTCCTCAAGTGACTTAGCTTTCTCATTACAGAAATATTACTTTCAGTATATTGTAGAAATATGCAAAATAGCGCAATTTCATGTACGCAATCAATTCTTATTATAATAATTCACTGGTAGATTTTCCTTTATTCAGGTGACTCGAGATGCATGATTTCGCTTCAAAATGCTTTCATGTACAGAAAATGAAACATTTAGGCTTTTATGTTTTTAGTTCCATTGACGTCATATTTACCACGAAGCGAATTATAAAGTTTAAATAAAAACATTTTGTTTTCCTTTTGAAAAATGATCTGGAGATAATTAATTTCGACATTTTCTTCTCCTTTTCAACGTAATTTCATACAGACACGAAATACCGGAAACGTGCAAAAACAAATACCCGCTTTCCTTCTTAGAAAATATACTGTTCATAATTCTATGGTTTTCCTTATTTAACTGTCAAATCATAGAACTCGCAAAATGTTACATAATAAAACAAAAAAAAAAAAAAAAAAAAAAAAAAAAAGAAGTCAGCAATATGTAACTTTGAATTTCAGTAAGTATCCTTAACATTTTTACAAACAAAAACCGAAGTTTTTTCTCCCTCCTCCTCCCCCCGTCCTCGGTTTATGTATGACGTGAAACGTTTAGCATATACGTGTATGTCAAACAGTTTGAAGGTCATGTACGGATGGCGCCTTCGCAAGCAACAGAATAGGAAGAATTCAATTAAGTAAATAATATAGAACAGCTTTTAGCTGATAAATTGTTGCTATTGCTATTGCAAAATTTTCTTTGAAAGATTCTTGATGACGTTATAGAAAAGTAGACAAAGTTCTGCGATTGACATTCAAATTATTTTTCTTATCTAATATTGCTTTTCATTAAACCGCTTTGCGGCTTTGCGTACGTTTTTAAAATGTAACAACATTTTGGGTCTAGGAAGAATTAGATTGTGAAAACATAATGTAGAGTTAGGAAAAATAAACTTGCGTTAAACTGAGAAGCGTTAAGTATGAGTGAATAAGAGAGGGAGAACAAGTACGAATGCTACAATCATAAAATTGTCGCAAAAAAGAGAGTTGCATGGTTAATAATTTATTTCATTAGAGGAACAGATATTAAATATTCAATTAAAAAGCTATAATCACTTTTTTTTTTTCAAATTTGTGATGCTATGAAATTTAGAAAAGTACTTCAAAGAACAGTAATTAAATGAAAAAGTTATGGAAAATAATGAAATATGATCATGTACTTCTATGTATCTTGTGTATGTAACATCT